GAAGGCCACTATAGACCAAAAATAATACAGCTATATACTCACAAAATAATTCAGCTAGATACTCACAACCATGTCTCTCATATCTATGCTTGTAATACTAACACATTCAGTGTACTGGCATCTACTACAAAGTATACTACATGCAATTCTTGTGTTCTTGTGTTCTTGGCTCTCACAGCAGCATTGGACACAGTCGACCACCATCTTCTGACCACTGCCTTGCTGCTGTTGGGGTGAGTCAGGGGGAGAGCTTGAAACGGGCTCCCCTCCTTTCTTCACAACCGTGGAGAGAGGGGGCCTGGTCTCCGAGAGGTCCCCCCTCTCTCTCTGGTGGGGTTCCTCCTCAGGGGGCCATTCTCTCCCCTCTGTTGTTGTTTAACATCGATATGCGACCACTTGCTCAGCTGGTCCGATGTTTTGGGTTTGAATGTTACCAGTACGCTGATGATACTCACTCAGCTGGTGCTGAAGATGCAAGGCCGACCAGACTCTGTACCCTCACCCCACATTGCCCCAGAGACCCCACCTGCTGCTGAGTCCAGTCCCGAGAGAGTGTCCCTACCTGATTTTGGGGCCCCGGTGGGAGGGCAGGGCCAGGACCTTGCGCCGCTTCTTGCCGTCCGGCAGCTCCACCTGCTCCACCATTCCGCTTGTCTGGAACCCGGACCACGGCGTGGCGGGGCCTCCTTTTGCAGGAGGGGGCTTCCCCACAGAGGTCTCCTCCCTGGGCCTCTTTGTGGCTGGGCCCCTCTGCTCCGTGGCGACAAAAGGGGGTCCCTTGGGGCCCTGAGGAGCCCGTTCTGCTCCTTTCTGCTTCCTTTTCCACTTCTTTGGCCCCGGAGTCGTGCTGTTTGTGGGCGCTGGTTCAGGAGCCCCAATGGGGCCCCGAGCGGCTTCCTTCTGCCTCAGCTTTTGCTGCCAAGAGAGAAGAAGTGTCAGAGCACATCAGTGAAATTTGCGGGCCAACTTGCTTCTTATCATCCAGTTCACTGGCTTCAGACAGTTGTTTCTGCTTCAACAAGCGGCTCTTATCTTTATTTACATTTCATTCATTGCAGTAAAATCCTACTCGTTATCACTGTCAGATGCAAGGGAGAAGAGCCAAGAGAAGGGAAACGAATGGTGCCTTGCTTCTTATCATCCAATTAACTGACATAATAATAATAATCATCATCATCATCATCATTATTTATACCTCGACATAATAATAATAATAATAACAACAATAATAATAATAACAATAATAACAATAATCTTTATTTATACTCCTCCACCATCTCCCCGCTGGAGACTCGGAGCGGCTAACGTGAGGCCAAAAACAATACAACAAAATAAAATCCCAAAACAATGGAAAATTAAACACAACAAAATACATAATGCAACAAAATATAATAAGACAATGCAAGATAACATAATAAAATCAATCAAAGAGGGCGGGCCAAATGCGCAAGATAAACACAGTTGTTTCTACTTCAGTAGCGGCTCTTATCTTTATTTACATTTCATTCATTGCAATAACACTTACTCGTTATCATGGTCAGGTGCAAGGGAGACGATCCAAGAGAAGAGAAACAAATGGCGCCTGTTCTATTGATACCCCGCTGTTAACTGCTCATTAATTCCGTGTCCAGCCCCCTAATCTATTGCCACATCATCCTTGTCTGTTCATAATGCTCCACAACTCAACTCTTTCACAGCTAGCAGCATGGAGATTTAAAATGTGTATAATATGTATTGACAACTGATATGGGATGTGGGCCCTGTTGGGAATCAGCCTGTGCTTGTGTTTCAGGATCCTGATGTGGGAAATGATGGTGCTGAGGCTGAGGTACAAGATGGAGATGGTTTGGTCAATGATTTTCATACAGGCAATGACAGAGAGGCCCCAGTGCAAAGGGCAGTTTCTCATGAGAATATCCCTGCTGGGCCTCGCAATGATGGTTCACTCCCTCTCTCTGTGAGCTCTCCAGATTTGGGTTTGGAAAACAATCTGAGACCTGGGAATTTTAATGAGCAGACAGATAGTTCTTCTGGGGAGGCCCTTCTTTCGCCCCCGACAGTCTCACAGACTCGTCTGGTGAGTACAAGGGAGAGAGTTTTTTCCTCTGTGGCTCCCCAACTCTGGAACTCACTACCAGGAGAGATTAGGAAAGCCCCTTCCCTAGGAACCTTTAAAAAGAACCTCAAAACCTGGCTCTTCCGCTGCGCATTTGACGAATACATTTACATCCTCACATTGGTGTTTGGTTTTAACGGTTTAGTTATTGGTGTACATTCCCCCTATGGGAAAGTTTTGCTCCATGACCTCCACTATAATGAGCTCTCCTCCGCAAATAATCTGCCTTTGTTTTATCTCGCCTGAGTTTTTAATCTGTTTTTAACCAGTTTTTCCTTTATCCATTACATGTACCTTGCCCATGTTATTGTGACTGTGTTTATTGTAATCTTATATTGCTATGTTGTCTTTTGTTTTATGTAATTGCGTTATTATTGTTCATTATTTGCGTTTTCGGTTTTGTCTTATTTTATGTAATTGATGTTTTGGGCTTGGCCTCATGTAAGCCGCACCGAGTCCCCATCGGGGAGATGGTAGTGGGGTACAAATAAAGCGGCTTACAAGAACAGGCTGAAATCTAACAGTTTAAAAGCAATTTAAAACAATTTAAAAACAACAGTATCAAACATTAAAAGCCTGTCGGAACAGGTATGTCTTACATGCCCTGCGGAAAGCTGGTAAGTCCCGCAGGGCACGAACCTCAGGTGGCAGAGCATTCCAGACTGATGGCGCCACTGCTGTGAAGGCTCTGCGCCTGGTTGCCGTTAGACGCAAGGTCTTGACACTGGGGACTTCCAATAGATCTTGGTCCTCAGAACGGAGGGATCTCTGGGGTTGGTAGGGGGTGAGACGATCCCTCAGATACATTAGCCCCAGACCATGCAAGGCCTTAAAGGTGAGTACCATCACTTTGAAAGTGATCCGGTGCTCAATTGGTAACCAATGCAGCTGTAGTAAGATTGGTGTTATGTGGCATCTCATCGGAATTCCCGCAAGAAGCCGAGCAGCTGCGTTTTGTACCAACTTGAGCTTCCGAATCACCGACAGAGGGAGGCCAATGTAGAGGGCGTTACAGTAGTCCAGTCTTGAGATGACCGTGGCCTGGATCACCGTAGCTAGGTCGTCCCTGGACAGGTAGGGGGCCAGCCGTCTAGCCTGCCGCAGGTGAAAGAAGGCGGTTCTGCTCACGGCGGAGACCTGGGCCTCCATTGTCAGCAGAGGGTCCAAAAGGACTCCCAGACTCTTTACCAATGATGACGGGCGTATAGTGCCTCGCCATCCAGGGTAGGCAGCTGGATATCCCCACTGCCCGGTCGACCCAGCCATATCTCCGTCTTTGCTGGATTCACCCTCAACCTGCTGGCACGCAGCCATCCAGTAACAGCCTCAAGGCAGCTGATGGAAACAATCGGGTACAGAGTCCGGTCGGCCTTCCATCTTCAGCACCAGCTGAGTGTCATCGGCGTACTGGAACACTCCAGCCCAAAACCTCGAACCAGCTGAGCAAGTGGTCGCATAGAGATGTTAAACAACAGAGGGGAGAGAATGGCCCCCTGAGGAGGAACCCCACAAGAGAGAGGGGACCTCTCAGAGACCAGGCCTCCCCTCTCCACTCGCTGTCCACGGTTGTGCAGAAAGGAGGGCAGCTCTCCCCCCCCAACTCCCACCCCCCCCTCCCCCCCCCCATCCGCCCACGCCCCCCCCCCCCCCCCCCCCCCCCCCCCCCCCCCCCCCCCCCCCCCCCCCCCCCCCCCGCCCCCCCCCCTCCCCCCCCCCCCCCCCCCCCCCCCCCCCCCCCCCCCCCCCCCCCCCCCCCCCCCCCCCCCCCCCCCCCCCCCCCCCCGGCCCCAATGTCCTCAGCCACGTCCTCCCCCGCCCCCCGCCCGCCACCCAGCCCCCGGCCCCCCCCCCTGGGCCCCCCCTAGTCACACTCCAGCCCAAAACCTCGAACCAGCTGAGCAAGTGGTCGCATATAGATGTTAAATAACAGAGAGGAGAGAATGGCCCCCTGAGGAACCCCACAAGATAGAGGGGACCTCTCAGAGACCAGGCCTCCCCTCTCCACTCGCTGTCCACGGTTGTGAAGGAAGGAGGACAGCCAGTTTAAAGCTGTCCCCCTGATTCCAGCAACAGCAAGGCGGTGGGTCAAGAGATTGTGGTCGATTGTGTCAAATGCTGCTGTGAGATCCAATAGCACAAGCAGCGCTGACCCGCCCTGGTCAAGCTGGCATCGGTGTTTACGTCGCTCTGAAAGGCTTCACCTGATAAGAGGTAAATGTGGGGGAAAACGAAACCAATTTCTGAGTTTTGGGATAAAAGGTTTGCCTCAAGGGGAAACCTATTAGATCAGGCATCGTTTGGAAACCAAGTTCATGTGCCATGGAAATCCTGTTCAAGGGGTATTTTTAGCCTTTTGGATTGTCTTTGCATTCTGTTGATTCCTGTCTGGATTAATACTGTCTTGGATTGCTTTTATATCTGGTGTGGACATTGCTTTTTTTTACTACCTTTTATTGACTTTTTACTTTTTGGAACTTTCTTATTTTCTTACACGCATTTATTTCTTCTGGCTATTCACTAAGCTTCAATAAAAGAAGATTTGTTTCTTCAATCTTCGTGTGGTGTGTTTTAAAGCCAGAGGGCTTTTTTCTGACCTGGAGTGCAACAGGCTCTTGGAAGCAAATGATGCATCCGTACTTGTGTACATAGAGCCATTGGTGGAAGAGGGAACCCTTTGGGGAATGCCTGCTGCCTTTTTTTCACCCATTTCCGGGATCTATGTGACTCAAGGTGTTTTGCTTCCTGCTTTCATAAGGTCACTTCCCCCTTATTCTTCTTCCCAGAAGAAGCCTTTAGTGTGTCTTTACTCCCTTTTGTTTTGGAACAGGAATGGGAGGCTTACTCACACTGAGGTCTTTCTCTCACTGATGCCTCTCTCTCTAAAGCAGGCATGGGAAAATTCCGGCCCTTCCTCTGGGTGTTTTGGACTTCAACTCCCACAATTCCTGGCCTCAGGCCCCTTCCTCCCCCACCCCCTCAGCCGCTTAAGTAATATATAATACTAATATTGTGCTGTGCTGATAATATATTGTATACACATATAATATTGGTAATAATATTATAATGTAACACAATTTAATACTAATAATAAAACAATAAAATAATTATATATTTCATATTACATGTAATATTACTAATAATATCACAGTATAGTGGTATAGTACAATATGGGAATGTATGGTGCTATGCTAATAATATAATATATTGTATTTACATATAACTTGTAAGCTGCTCTGAATCCCCTTCAGGGTGAAAAGGGCGGGATATAAATGCTGTAAATAAGCAAGTAAATAAATAAATATGTGCACTGTGATCTGCCCTGAGTCCCCTTGGGGAGATAGGACGGAATATAAATAAAGTTGTTGTTGTTGTTGTTATTATTATTATTATTATTTGAAACATCACAAGATGAGTCCACAGTAGACACTCTTCTGGCTGTTGTACTGGATCACATGTCAGACACTTCCCAAGATCCCAGTAAGGTGGCCTTTTGCAGCTGGCAGGTGGTAATTCTGTCAGCGCCGATTATGTTTAAGTGCAGGCCAAGGTCTTGAGGCACTGCGCCCAGTGTGCCGATCACCACTGGGACCCCCTTGACTGGTTTGTGCCACAGTCTTTGCAGTTTGATCTTTAAATCCTCATATTGTGTCAGCTTTTCCTATTGTTTCTCTGCAATCCTGCTGTCACCTGGGATTGCAACATCGACAATCTATACTTTGATGATGATGATGATTATCATCATCATCATTACTATTCCCTGAAATAAGGTGTATAGTTCAGCCATGTTTACGAGCCCTGTCCAGGACTGGCTCTTGAGGAACCAAATAGATGGCTTGCTTTCTTTCCTTCCTTCCTTCCTTCCTTCCTGTCTGTCTGGAAAAAGGGTTCCTCCTGGGTTTGTCAACAGGCTGCCCCTGCCAAAACATGCCACCCCCACTCCAGAAGGCACGATGGGCAGCCCCCCCCCCATGCCCCCCGCTCCTCTTTGTCTTACCAGGCTGCGTTGTGCTCGCTGCTCCTTCAGCCTCAGCTTCCGGCGATCCTCCAGGGAGAACTCCACAATGGGGCGCTGGGGGGAGAACGGGGATCACAGGATCAGAGAGAGAGGAGGGAGTCACCTCAGAGCCACAGGCCAAGGACCCCGCCCCCCCCCCCCCTTCTTCTCTGCATCCCTGGGAAATGGACAGCCTGCCCCCCACCCCCCTCTCTCCTAGGCCCCTGCCTCTGGGGATGCAATGCTGGAACGGCCTCTCCTGCAATGTCTCTGGATGAACCACAGGCTCACAATAATCAAGGAGTGGTACCCAAGTGTTGAGACAGTTGCCTACAAGTTTGTAGTAACCCTGTGTTGAGTTGATGAGGATGGGAGGTTGGTGTATTGAGATAGCTAAGAGTGTTTGTACAGGTTTGCTGTGAGTTTTCCGGGCTCCATGGCTATGTTCCAGAAGCATTCCCTCCTGACATTCTGCCCACATCTATGGCAGGCACCGTCAGAGGTTAAGAGGTCCGTTGGAAACTAGGCAAGTGGGGTTGATTATATATCTGTAGCATAATATCCAAGGTGGGAGAAGGAACTCTTGCCTGCTTGAGGCAAGCCTGAATGCTGCCATTGATCACCTTGAGTAACATTTGATTAACACAGCTTCAAACCCACCCTCCACACCCACCCACTCACCTTCTGGTCCCCAAAGAGCTGGGGGTTGTTGTTGGTGTGGCGCAGGGCGGCCAGCGCCTGGTCGTGCTCCTGGAACTCCACAAAGGCGTAGCCCAGCGACTGGCCCTGGCCCTTCCGGTCCCGCATCACCCGGCACTAAGGAGGGAGGGAAGGCGAGAGGGAGAAGGAAGAGAGAAAGAAGAATGGGTCACATCACACGACCACTGACTCATTTATTTACTTAAAACATTGATACTCCGCCCTTCTTCTCACCCTGACTCAGGGGACTCAGGGCCGAGCACAAGCATATATACGGCAAACACTCAATGCCGGGACATGAATTCATTCTATGCATACGTAAACATTAAAAAACATTTGTCTCAATATTAAATACACTGTTTAAAACCGTCTTGATCATCTGCATGGGATCGAATTTGACACAAGGCCTGCTGTCCTGAGTTGCCCTTCAAAAACAGCCTTTAGACAATATTGAAAGTAAAAGAAAAATGGATCCAGGAACACGAAAGGCACTGCAGACTCCTTCAACCAGAGAAATCAGCCATAGCAAAGCACCTGAGGAACCAACTTGGACACAGCATATTATTATTTGAGGACACAGAAATGCTGGACCACTCTCACAACCACCATGACAGACTACACAAGGAAGCCACTGAAATCCACAAACATGTGGACAATTTCAACAGAAAGGAAGAAACCATGAAAATGAACAAAATCTGGCTACCAGTATTAAAAAATTCTAAAACTGCAACAGCAAAAACAGCAGAGAGAAAAACAGGCAGGGACATCTAATCACCTTTCAAGAAGAGTTTGCTCCAGGCACAGTCAGCCCATTGTACGCTAATCAAGGTGGTCAGTGGAAAGATTCACACCTAGCCCAACTTACAAAAGCCCTTTGTCTCACCCTGGTCATTCCATAGATAGATAAACTCCTTTTTTCCCAGTTCCAGCAGACCTCACCTCTGAGGATGCTTGTCATAGATGCAGGCGAAACATCAGGAGAAATGCCTCTAGAACAGTGTTTCTCAACCTGGGGGTCGGGACCCCTGAGGGGGTCGCAAGGGGGTGTCAGAGGGGTCGCCAAAGACCATAAGAAAACACAGTATTTTCTGATGGTCATGGGGATTCCATGTGGGATGTTTGAGCCAATTCTATCGTTGGTTGAGTTCAGAATATTCTTTGATTGTAATGAACTATAAATACCAGCAACTACAACTCCCAAATATCAAGATCTATTTTCCCCAGACTCCACCAGTGTTCACATTTGGGCATATTGAGTATTCATGCCAAGTTTGGTCCAGATCCACCATGGCATGAGTCCACAGTGCTCTCTGTAAATAGGTGAACTACAACTCCCAAACTCAAGGTCAATGCCCATCAAACCCTTCCAGTGTTTTCTGTTGGTTATGGGAGCCAAGTTTGGTTCAAATCCATTGCTGGTGAAGTTCAGAATGCTCTTTGATTTTTTTTTTTTTCGTATCAGGAGCAACCGCTCCTGTTGTGAGAGAATTGGCCGTCTGCAAGGATGTTGCCCAGGGGACGCCTGGATGATTTTTGATGTTTTATCATCCTTGTGGGAGGCTTCTCTCATGTCCCCGCATGAGGAGCTGGAGCTAATAGAGGGAGCTCATCCGCCTCTCCCTGGATTCGAACCTGTGACCTGTCGGTCATTAGTCCTGCCAGCACAGTGCTTTAACCCACTGCGCCACCGGGGGCTCCGCTCTTTGATTATAAGTGAACTATAAATCCCAGCAACTACAACTTACAAAATCAATACTCCCCCAACCCCACTAGCATTCACATTTGGGTGTATTGGGTGTTTGTGCCCAGTGAATGAAAATGCATCCTGCATATCAGATATTTACATTATGATTTATAACAGTAGTAAAATGATTGTTATGAAGTAGCAACGAAAACAATATTATGGTTGGGGGTCACCACCACATAAGGGACTGTATTAAGGGGTCACGGCATTAGGAAGGTTGAGAACCACTGCTCTAGAACATGGCCATACAGCCCGAAAAAAACCCACAAGAACTGAGTGATTCCAGCCATGAAAGCCTTCGACAATACATTAAAAGAAAAATGCTTTACTTCAGCAAACACAAAGGATAAGCAAATGCAGTCGAAAATGCAAAAGAAAGCAAGGAAGTCTTAATGTAGACACAAATTAAAGTCTCTTACAAAGTCCCAAAAGAAACACCAGTCTTTCATGATCACTAAGTCCTAAGCAGCAGGCACAAAGCAGGTTCAATTGGAGTAAAAACATCAGCATCAGAGTTGTTGTTACCAGTGAAAGCAGACTGCTCCTGCTTCTGATTTATAGCCCTGAATTCCCCACACGGGAGGGCAGTGGTTCTCAACCTGGGGTCCCCAGATGTTTTTGGCCTACAACTCCCAGAAATCCCAGCCAGTTCACCAGCTGTTAGGATTTCTGGGAATTGAAGGCCAAAAACATCTGGGGATCCCAGGTTGAGAACCACTGTGCTAAGGCGTCTCCCAATTAGCTCAGCGTTTCTAGCAGCTATTCTAGCTGAATGCCGTCTGTGCTCTGCCTCCTTTCGTCTCTCTGGAAATGTGGGCACTTGAAAGCCTCATCGTCTGATTCTTCTTCTCCCTCCAATTCCTGAGCACTTCCCTGCTCCCCTTCCTCTTCCAAAGATGAGGAATCCCGAACACCTGCAAGAGGCCATAACTGCACTTCCTCTGGAAGAAACGCGGCAAGAACTGCGCCCCATTTCTGATTGCAAGCTCACCTCCTTGATCCGGACGCCGGCACCGCTGCTGCGTCCCTTGCCGCCCGCTGCCTGCAGCATGAGTGCCCGGAGGCGCCTGTCGTCGACGCTCTTGGGCAGGTTGTGGACGCAGAGCCTCGTCTGGGACACAAAGATGTTCTGGTCCTTCAGCTTCTGCCGCTTCAACTCCTCAAACTGAAAGAGGGAGAGAAAGGGATGCTTTGTCTAGGACCACACAGAGAGGGGGGCAGCCTGGCATTGAGCAGAGCTTGACCTCCGAGGGGACCGGACCACAATTTATTATTTATTATTTATTTCACCTACTTATACCCCGCCCTTCTCACCCCGGGGGGGACTCAGGGCGGCTTACAAAGGAGGCACAATTAGATGCCCAAATCACACAACAAACAATACAAAATATAACAGTTCAACAATTAAAATGAAACATCAATACCTATTAAAATCATAAAAACTATCTCATGTCAGAGTCCATATATCAGAGTCCATATATCCATTCCATTCCATTGTCCTTGTCTATCGATAGGTCCTTTAATCAGTTGTCAGCATGGCCAAAAGCTTGGTCCCACATCCAGGTCTTTAGTTTTTTCCTAAACGCTAGAAGGGAAGTCGTCGATCTGATCTCCCCGGGGAGTGAGTTCCACAGGTGGGGGGCCACCACTGAGAAGGCCCTGCTCCTCGTCCCCGCCAATCTCACTTGTGATAGAGGTGGGGCCGAGAGCAGGCCCCCCTCCCCAGAAGATCTTAGACTCCGAGGCGGGACGTAGAAGGAGATGCATTTGGACAGATACGCTGGGCCGGAACCGTATAGGGTTTTGTAGGTCAAAACCAGCACTTTGAATTGTGCTCGGAATTGGATCGGCAGCCAGTGGAGCTGACGCAACAGGGGGGTGGTATGCTCCCTGTACGCCGCTCCGGTGAGCAATCTGGCTGCTTCTCGTGCTGGACTAGTTGAAGTTTCCGAGCAGTCTTCAAAGGCAACCCCACGTAGAGTGCGTTGCAGTAGTCTATGCGGGATGTAACAAGAGCGTGGACCACTGTGGCCAGATCAGACTTCCCAAGGTACGGGCGCAGCTGGCGCACAAGTTTTCATTGTGCAAAAGCTCTCCCGGCCACCGCTGAGACCTGGGGTTCCAGGCTCAGCGATGAGTCCAGGATCACTCCCAAGCTGCGAACCTGCGTCTTCAGGGGGAGTGTAACCCCGTCTAACACAGGCTGTAACCCTATACCCTGTTCGGCCTTACGACTGACAGTAGGACCTCTGTCTTGTCTGGATTCAATTTCAATTTGTTAGCTCTCATCCAGTCCGATACAGCGGCTAAACACCGGTTCAAGGTCTGGACAGCCTCCTTGGTGACAGGTGAGAAGGAGTGACAGATTTGGACGTCATCTGCATAGAGATAGCATCTTAGTCCGAAACTCCGAATGATCTCTCCCAGCGGCTTCATGTAGATGTTAAATAACAATGGGGCCAGCCAGCCCTTGAAAGCATTGGAAGCAAAGCAGCGTCAACACTCATCTTCAGAGCAATGAGAGACAGAGGGAGACCAGGTGCCTGCCTACCTGCCCATTTCCTAGATCCATGCAGGTCAAAATCTTTTGCGCATAGAGGTCACTCCCCCCTTCTTCTTATTCCCCCCAAAAGTCTTTATAGCACCAGGACTATGGTGCAGGTGTCTGAGAGCCATTTGCATTAAGATCACTTCTGACCAAAAGGTCATGAGTTCGAAGCCAGCCCGGGTCGGAGTGGGCTTCCGACCAATTGTCTAGCTTGTTGTCGACCTTTGCAACCCGAAAGACAGTAGCATCTGTCAAGTAGGAAAATTAGGTACCATCTACGTGTGGGGAAGCTAATTTACTGTGGCGCAGGTGTCTGAGTGTCAGCTGCATTAAGATCACTTCTGACCAAAAGGTCATGAGTTCGAAGCCAGCCCGGGTCGGAGTGAGCTTCCGACCAATTGTGTAGCTTGTTGTCGACCTTTGCAACCTGAAAGACAGTTGCATCTGTCAAGTAGGAAAATTAGGTACCATCTACGTGTGGGGAAGCTAATTTACTGTGGCGCAGGTGTCTGAGAGCCATTTGCATTAAGATCACTTCTGACCAAAAGGTCATGAGTTCGAAGCCAGCCCGGGTCGGAGTGGGCTTCCGACCAATTGTCTAGCTTGTTGTCGACCTTTGCAACCCGAAAGACAGTAGCATCTGTCAAGTAGGAAAATTAGGTACCATCTACGTGTGGGGAAGCTAATTTACTGTGGCGCAGGTGTCTGAGTGACAGCTGCATTAAGATCACTTCTGACCAAAACGTCATGAGTTCGAAGCCAGCCCGGGTCGGAGTGAGCTTCCGACCAATTGTGTAGCTTGTTGTCGACCTTTGCAACCCAAAAGACAGTAGCATCTGTCAAGTAGGAAAATTAGGTACCATCTACGTGTGGGGAAGCTAATTTACTGTGGCGCAGGTGTCTGAGAGCCATTTGCATTAAGATCACTTCTGACCAAAAGGTCATGAGTTCGAAGCCAGCCCGGGTCGGAGTGGGCTTCCGACCAATTGTCTAGCTTGTTGTCGACCTTTGCAACCCGAAAGACAGTTGCATCTGTCAAGTAGGAAAATTAGGTACCATCTACGTGTGGGGAAGCTAATTTACTGTGGCGCAGGTGTCTGAGTGACAGCTGCATTAAGATCACTTCTGACCAAAACGTCATGAGTTCGAAGCCAGCCCGGGTCGGAGTGAGCTTCCAACCAATTGTGTAGCTTGTTGTCGACCTTTGCAACCTGAAAGACAGTTGCATCTGTCAAGTAGGAAAATTAGGTACCATCTATGTGTGGGGAAGCTAATTTACAAGGCCATAATAAAGACTCCAGCAAAGAACTCCAGCAAAGCATGCGGGGAATGCGGAATTACTTCATCAGTGTCCCAGATGGACGATGAAGCCCAGGTCGAAGTGAGCTTCCGAACAATTGTCTAGCTTGTTGTCGACCTTTGCAACCTGAAAGACAGTTGCATCTGTCAAGAAGGAAAATTAGGTACCACCAATGTGTGGGGAGGCTAATTTAACTAATTTAATCATAAAAAAGACTCCAGCAAAAGCATGCGGGGAATGCGGAAGTACTTCATCAGTGTCGCAGATGGAGGATGAAAGCGACAGCTCCCCTGGCGGCCAGAAAAAGTTAAATAGCCTCTGAGTGTCTGTCTATATCTGTGGTGTGTCTTTGGCATTGAATGTTTGCCAAAGTTTGCCATATATGTGGACATTGCAATCCGCCCTGAGTGAGAAGGGCGGAATATAAATATTGTAAATAAATAGTGCAACTTTGTGGCCCTATGTCTGAGAGGAGAGCACCGAGGGGCAGGCTGCCCCCCAACCTCCCCCCACCACCCATGCCTCCGGACTCACCCGCGCCCGCTTGGCCAAGTCGGCTTCGCTCAGTCCCTCGGCGGCTTTGGTTCCAGCACGGATCACTGCAAAGAGGGGAAAGGGGCACAACATGAGATGATGGCCAAGTAGGTCAGAGGCGTGTTGCCCCCCCCGGAGCAGGAAGGGGGCCCGGGGGGGGGGGGCATTTATTGTTCAAGTTCTTATGCAGTGTTTTGGGAAGGACCTCAAATGGCCTTGACTGAGGAGCCACGCCCTCCCCACCTGCCACCTCCTGGCCCCCAGAGCGGCCCACCCAGGACTGCTAACTGAGCTGCTAGAAACAAGGAAGGCAGTACATGGAGCACACAACGAAAAATGGTGTGCCCTTGTATTGCCAAGGGTTTTCACACTGGGGTGTTGTGTACTTTTCGGGCTGTATGGCTGTGTTCTTGCAGACAGGACACTAAGATGGTCTGGGGAGGCCCTGCTCTCGGTCCCACCTGCATCGCAGGCGCGCCTGGCGGGGACGAGAGACAGGGCCTTCTCAGTGGTGGCCCCTCGGCTGTGGAACGCCCTGCCTGCAGACATCAGATCGGCCCCCTCGCTGTTGGCGTTTCGGAGGAAGGTGAAGACCTGGCTATTCGAACAAGCGTTTGACTAAACAGTGAAACTGAACACAGGAATACGGAACAATGGATAATGAGAGTGGATTCTGATTTCACTGTTGACGCGTTATGATTGTGATACTGTTGTTAATTGTGGATGTTATAATCTGTTTTAATTGCATTATACTGTTTTGTGATATTTTGCATTGTTGTGTAAACCGCTTTGAGTCGCCTAAGGGCTGAGAGAAGCGGTATAGAAATAGAGTAAACAAGAAATAAATAAATAAATACATTTTCTCCTGACGTTTTTCCTGCATCTGTGGCTACTGTGGTTGTGGCACAGCTGGTTGGGAGTCAGCTGCATGAAAATCACTAATGACCAAAAGGTCATGATTTACAGTATTTGTATACCACTTTTCTCACCCCGAGGGGGACTCAGAGGAGTTTGAAGCCAGCCCAGGTTGGAGTAAGCTCCCGACCATTTGTCTAACTTGCTGTCGACCTTTGCAGCCGGAAAGACAGTTGCATCTGTCAAGTAGGAAATTTAGGTACCACTTATGTGGGGAGGCTAATTTAACTAATTTATGATGCCATAAAAAAACTCTCCAGCAGCATGCAAAAGAATGAGGAAGTACTCCATTGGTGTCACAAGTGGTTGGTGAAGCGACAACTCCCCCAGTGGCTGGAATTAAAAAAAAAAAACCCCATACCCTCATGAAGCTGCAAGTTAAATGTTTGGGTTGTTGTAGGTTTTTTCGGGCTATATGGCCATGGTCTAGAGACATTTTCTCCTGACGTTTCGCCTGCATCTATGGCAAGCATCCTCAGAGGTAGTGAGGTCTGTTGGAACGAGGAAAAATGGGTTTATATATCTGTGGAATAATGACCAGGGTGGGACAAAGCACTCTTGTCTGCTAGAGCTAGGTGTGAATGTTTCAACTGACCACCTTGATTAGCATATAATGGCCTGGCAGTGCCTGGAGCAAACTTTTGTTGAGAGGTGATTAGATGTCCTTGTTTGTTCCCTCTCTGTTGTTGTGCTGTTGTGATTTTAGAGTTTTTTTTAATACTGGTAGCCAGATTTGGTTCATTTTCATGGTTTCCTCCTTTCTGTTGAAATTGTCCACATGCTTCTTGTGGATTTCAATGGCTTCTCTGTGCAGCCTGACATGGTGGTTGTGAGAGTGGTCCAGCATTTCTGTGTCCTCAAATAATAATCTCCTGTGTCCAGGTTGGTTCCTCGGGTGCTCTGCTATGACTGACTTCTCTGGCTGAAGTAGTCTGGAGTGCCTTTCATGTTCCTTGATTCGTGGTTGGGAAATGCTGCTGCGTGTGGTGGTTCCAGTATTAAAAAACTCTAAAATTGCAACAGCACAATAACAGAGAGGAAACAAACAAGGACATCTAATCACCTCGCAACAAAAGATTCCCCCAGGCACTGCCAGGCCATCGAATGCTAATCAAGATCAGTTGAAACATTCACACCCAGCTCCAGCAGACAAGAGTTCTTTGTCCCACCCTGGTCATTGCACAGATATATAAACCCTTTTGCCTAGTTCCAACAGACCTCACTACCTCTGAGGATGCTGGCCATAGATGCAGGCGAAACGTCAGGAGAGAATGCCCCTAGAACATGGCCATATAGCCCGAAAAAAACCTACAACAACCCAGTGATTCCGGCCATGAAAGCCTTCGACAATACAGTTAAATTTTATTTATTTATTTACCATATTTATATACCGCCTTTCTCAGCCTGAAGGCGACTCAAGGCGGTTAACAATCGGCATAATTTAATGCCCCCGACAATGTAAAATATAGTTAAAACATTAACAAATAGTATAAACCATAGAAAAACAAAAAAGCAATAACAAACAATAGCCCCTGTGTGTCTGTCTATATATGTTGTGTGTCTATGGCATGGAATGTTTGCCATGTATATGTGCATTGTGATCCGCCCTGAGTCCCCTGCCAGGTGAGAAGAAGGGCGGAATATAAATACTGCAAATAAATAATAATAAATACTGGCATCTCCAGCGGATTTGAAGGACCACAACCGAAAGCAACAGCACTAATGGAAATGCCAGGACAACATATTCCTTTCAGATCCGGCCACAGATGCCACAAAAATATTATTGCAGATTTGATAAATGTAAATATGATGTGTGGGAGTGAATGGAAGATGCATGTATGGATGAAACTAATAATTTTGGAAACACCGGTAAAAGACCGGACCTGCAATGATTAACTACCTGCTTGGACTGTAATTAAAAATTGCTAATGAGAAATGAAGAGTAAACTCTGATAAGAAGTGGGACAGTGATAACAGAAATGTTGACAATGTTAAGAAGGAAGTCAACATAAGATCAACACCAATCAAGAAGATCAACATCTTGCCAGGAAACTGAGCTGGATCCAGGATGGAAGACGTCTATCATTCATTTACAACTTTGGAATGACATCAACAGAATATTCCTATAAAAGACTCAGTCTAATAATGCTCAAAGTGTGGCAGACCTGAGGAGTCTGTTCCACCCGCCATGCTCTGCTCCATGGGAAGGAGAGATAGTGTATTCGGAAAGTGTCAGATATGGGGCTGCCCTTAAAGACGGCCCGGAAACTTCAGCTAGTTCAGCGCGCGGCAGCCATGTTACTAACAGGAGCGGGACGCAGGGAGCATACAACGCCCTTGCTGTTCCAGCTCCACTGGCTGCCGATTTGCTACCGGGCCCAATTTAAGGTGCTGGTGCTATCCTACAAAGCCCTAAACGGTTCCGGCCCAAAATACCTTTCGGACCGCATCTTGGCCTATGAGCCCACGAGGACCTTGAGATCGTCTGGGGAGGCCCTTCTCTCGATCCCGCCTGCTTCACAGGCACGTCTGGCAGGGACGAGAGAAAGGGCCTTCTCGGTGGTGGCCCCCCGGCTGTGGAACGACCTCCCTGCTGACATCAGACAGGCGCCCTCCCTTCTGTCCTTCCGTAAGAGCCTGAAGACCTGGCTATTTGAGAAGGCATTCAACTGAGCGCTACGGCAACTGGTAATTGACAACTGGAACGGAATACGGATTACGATATTGGTTATGATTCTATGATGTGACGGAGCGGATTATTTAGTGTAACTAGATTATAGTGTATTATTGTTGTATTGATTCCCTGTTTTGCCCTTTTTGTAAACTGTTTTTATATGTTGTGCACCGCCGCGAGTCGCCCTAGGGCTGAGAGCGGCGGTCAATAAATGCAGTAAATAAATAAATAAATAAATAAATAAATAAATATGCTATGGGAAAGCATATTACATCTGGCCCGGCCATAAGGTTTTAAATTCTCTGTGTTATTGTTTATATGTGAGTTATATTAATTGTACTGTTTTATTTTCTTGCTGTTTTGTTTTGACTGATGTGTTGTTGGGCTCGGGCTCATGTAAGCCGCCCCAGGGTCCCCTTGGAGAGATGGTGGCGGAGTATAAATAAAGTATTATTATTATTATTATTAAAGCATGATTGTGGTCACTTTGGGGCTCCTTTCTCAAGGGAAGAGGAAGAAGTGTGCTTTTGGAGCCTTGGATTTTGTGCAGGGAGTCAGGTTCTGCTGTATGGAAAACAGAGATCTGGTCCTTGGCATTGTGCTTAGGGAAAGAAGTTCTGGCATTTCGGTATTTTGAAGTTTTGGCGTTATGGAACTATGCGTTGCCAGGCTGCAGGAAAGCAGGGTCTGAACTAACAGGTGCTTCTCCAGGAGGGAGAATATTTGGGTGCATGAAGATGAATGCATGTACATGTGTGTTAATGCTGAGTGAAAATATAACTCCCCTTTGTTTGTTTGTTAGCCATGCAATGTAGTTGCATAGAATCTGTGTGTCTGTATATCCAATGTCATTCTTTGTCTAAATATTTTTTCTGTCACCTGATGTCCCCTCTCACACTGGAAATTGCAATAAAAAGGACCTGAAAAGTCATTCATGACAGATACAGGTGAAACGTCAGGAGAAAATGCTGTTAGAACATGGCAACACAACACCTCAATGGGCCTTTGGTTTCCATCGGGTCAAGTCCCAGGATTCCCTGCGGATACCTAAATCCATGGATGCTCCAAAAATAAAAGTAAAACCTTTTAAAAACTATTTCCAAGCCGTGGAGGGTGATGGCCGGCATCATTAAAGCCAGGCAAGGAAACACTTAGAATCATAGAATCATAGAATCAAAGAGTGGGAAGAGACCTCATGGGCCATCCAGTCCAACCCCATTCTGCCAAGAAGCAGGAATATTGCATTCAAATCACCCCTGACAGATGGCCATCCAGCCTCTGCTTAAAAGCTTCCAAAGAAGGAGCCTCCACCACACTCCGGGGCAGAGAGTTCCACTGCTGAACGGCTCTCACAGTCAGGAAGTTCTTCCTCATGTTCAGATGGAATCTCCTCTCTTGTAGTTTGTTCCGCGTCCTAGTCTCCAAGGAAGCACAAAACAAGCTTGCTCCCTCCTCCCTGTGGCTTCCTCTCACATA